ATGCAGCTTAGCGGAAGTCAGAGCAGATGAAATGCTGAAATGTATCCAGTACTAGAAACAAGGTAAGACTAGAATAGGCACCAAACAAGAAAATAAGACAAAACTAGAAGACCCCAGAACTGGAGAAGGATAGAAAGCAGAACCCAGAACATGTACACAACACACAAGGGAAACATTAACAGAACATGCATAGGACAGGACTGTACATGCACTGGGAATACAAAATAGAGCAAGACAAGAGACATAAGGCAAAACAAGAGGAGACATAACTAAGTACTCTATATGTAACACATTGGAGATTTAGACATACATAAATGGGCGAGATGTATGCAGCCCACCACTGTGCCAAAGTACTCCAAGTACAGTGGGTCCTAACTGCCTAGATATGCATGACCAAATAAACAACAATAAAACATGCACAGTACTTACCTGCAAAGAAAGGGTCAGAGGACATAAAAAAACAACAGGAACCAACTGAAACAAAAGGATTAACCCTTTAAGGACTGAGCCAAATGTACACGTTGTGATCAAAACGTAAACAAAACCTGGACTTTGCGCTATATGTCTGTTCAGGCGTACTTCACCCCTTTTATGTGCACCCACACTTATTATTTATAATTTTATTCAGGGGAAAGAGGGCTTTCATTTAACATCAAATATATAGGTATAAAACAATCTAATATGAATAAAATATAAAAAAATTGGATTAAATAAGAATTTTAAAAATGCTTTGGTTCTACATGACATTCTAACTGTGAATGTCATAATACTGTTTGCTTTTACTGGCAGGGGTGGGGTTAGGCAGAGATGGTATGGCCACCCTGCGCATAATAACCCTAAACGTCCAGGGATTAAATACCCCGGAAAGCACTCGCTGGCTCTGTCAGAACTAGCCAGGCTTAAAGCTGATGTGGCCTTCCTTCAGGAAACCGACTTCAGAAAAGATTTAGCACCTAGCCTGCGAAATCGTAGATATCCTATTGGGTTCTTTGGAAATTACGCAGAAGCAAAACTGCAGTTGGTGGCCATCCTGTTTGCGGCGCAGCTGCCGTTCACACGGATAGAATACAAAACAGATGACTCTGGCAGAATATTTAAGTTTTTAGTTTTGTCAATATGTATTTTCCCAACAGGCACCAATGTAGACATCTAAAGAAATTCTTAACCTTAATTGAACAATTCACAGAGGGAGTGCTGGTGATTGGAGGGGACTGTAATGTAGCTCTCGGCACTAGACACGACCTCTACATCAACGACACACTTAAACCCCACACGTCATAAGATCACGCGCCTTCTAGATCAATCCCAACTCTTTGATTGCTGGTGCATTATCAACCGACAAGGGTGAGACTACTCCTTCTATTCCTCAGTATTACACGCCTAGTCCAGACTAGACATGTTTTTCCCCCCTCACAGATTCTTGCATCTCATGAAGTCGTGCACATACGGCCCCATAACATGGTCCGAACACTCCCCACTGTCCCTAGTTATCCAAATACCCTCACTGCCGATAAAAATCTTCCAGTGGAAACTTAATGACTTCCTGCTCAATGATATAGAAGCGGTGCAGCAGCTAAAATATGACATCCAACACTACTTCCAGGACAACACCGATCCCTTAATCTCCACCCCCGATCATTTGGAAAGCTCACAAGTGTGTAATTAGGGGTTTACTCATAGCCATAGCCTCTCGAAGCAAAAAGAGAAGAGAAGCCAAAGTCAAAAAACTTACAGAGGAGATTAGAAGCTTGGAAAAATCACACAAAGGCAATACCACACACAACACATAAACTGAACTAGTGTCACAACGATCGGACCTACAGCACATACTAAATGCTCAAGTCAAACGTAAACTCCTACGGACAAACCAGTCCTATTACTCCATGGGCAACAAATGCGGCCGCCTACTGGCCAACGGACTAAAGCAAACCCACCAAACCATGGTCATAGCCAAGGTCAAACACCCCAGAAAGGGCTTACCCCACACCCTTTCTGACATAATGGAAGCCTTTCACCAATTTTACACGGACCTTTACAACTTAAGAGACTTTCCCCCATCACAAACAGAACTAGAAGACTTCCTAACCCCCAGAATAAAACGGACAGTCCCACAGAACTTTAGACAGTCCCTTGACGCACCTATTACAGAAGAGGAATTTCGGAAGACGGTACATGCGATACCCCTAAATAAAAGCCCCAGTCCGGATGGTTACACAGCCAAATACTATAAAACCTTCACCGAAGTGTTGACTGGCCCTTTCCTAAAAGAATTTAACTCACTCACTGACAATCATCCCCTACCAGGGGCAGCTTTGGAAGCACACATCACATTACTTCCAAAACAAGGGAAAGACCCCACGGCATGCGGTAGTTACCGCCAGATATCCCTCATCAATGTGGATTTAAAAATATTCACAAAAATCTTGGTCACTAGACTGTGCCCCTTATTAATACACCTGATTCACCCAGACCAATCGGGCTTTGTCCCTGAAAGAGAAGCAAAACACAATGCAACAAAACTACTCAGCCTTATTCACATATCAAAAACATACCCTACTCTAAGCCTTCTCCTGTCGGTCGATGCCTTTCGACCGAGTGGACTGGGCCTTTCTAAAACTCACTATGAGGTCCCTGGGCTTTGGACCAAACTGGTCTCACTGTCTGGATGCCATATATGCCAACCCAACCACCAGGCTTAAAATCAATGGCCAGTTTTCGGACACAGAGCCAATCACCAACGGCACGAGGCAGGGATGCCCCTCTTGCTACTCTTCATCTTCACGATGGAACTCTTCCTACAAGGGATTAGGGAGAATTGGGACATAAAGGGATTTCATATTGAACAACAAGAATTTAAAATTGCAGTCTTTGCAGATGATCTCCTCTTTACACTGACCTCCCCCAGCTCATCCCTGGAGCCTCTCATGAACGGCAATGACCAATACCACAGGGTATCCAAGTTCCAGGTCAATTTCTCCAAAAGTGAACTACTACCATAGACGACCCTGAAGGGACTTTTCCCCTTTGCTTGCGAAGACTCCAACATCACATACTTAGGGGTGCGCCTAACCGGAGATACGCAACAACTCTTTCACTTGAACTTCACCTCGCTACTCCAAACAATCACTAAAGACCTGACAGCATGGCACAAACCGCAAATAAGTTGGTTAGGGAGGATTAGCATTCTAAAAGTGACCATCCTCCCGAAGATCCTCTATCTATTCCAAACCCTACCCATACACATGTCCAAATCCTTTTTCTCCAAACTTAAGCAGGTTTTCACCAAATTCGTCTGGGCGAATAAATACCCAAAAATCTCGTATTATATTCTAATGGGGGCCAAATCTCGTGGAGGACTCAGCATGCCTAACATGTACCAATATTACATAGCAATCACTCTCACTGGAGTCTATGAATGGACTAACCCAAACCCTCGAACACAATGGGTGTTGTTGGAAGACTTTTTCTTTCGAGCTCCGCTCTATATGATACCCTCTGACTAATAACCCCCTGTTCCTACTGGGACTACGTAACTGGACCTATGACTTCATCTTAGACTAATGTCAGTCCTAGAGGGGGCCCACATCAAACCCTGGCGACGCTGACATCCTCGGGTTCTCCCTCTGCCCAACAATCCTACCACATCCACCAACTCTCACACTTCATTCACACCACTGATAAGCTTTTAACTGGGGGCCGACCTCTCACAACATTTGAAACATATTGCGAAAAGCGTATGCTGAAACGCAAACAACTCTCCATGATGTACAAACTACTGCAGGATGACGACAAACGTACACTACCAAATTTCACACAACACTGGCAGCGATAACTCAATATTTCCCTCACCGACAACAACTAGGGGACACTATACCTTGCCACTCACAAATCATCAATCAGCATGACTGTCCAGGAAAGCAATTACTAACGAATCTCTAGGTGGCATTACTCCCCAACCAAACTACACAACATATTTCCCAACATGGTTTGCAGAGGTGACAGAACCCAATTGCAGCGGAACAGCACTCCCTTACAATCACGACCCTCAGGAGCACCTGGAAGTGGTGACAGGGTCCCAAAGGGTCTGTAGTGGCACGGAGGCCTTTAATGGGAAGAAGCCAAGCGAGGAATCCGAGAAGGGAAGAAGCAGGAGGCGCAGTCAAATAATCCAAAGTCAGGCAGCAGACAAGAGAAGTTGATTAATCCGGAGTGAGGTCAGGCAGCAGGCAAGGAAAATCAATTAGGGGATCAAGGGTCAGGAACCAGGAATATAAGCTGAAAATCAGGGCAAAAGGCAGGTATACAAAGGCAAGGAAAATAACCAAGCACTGCCTGGAAGGTGTGCTTGGTTTAAATAGGGAGCCAGGATCACATGACCGGTCACCTCCCACCAGTAGGTGGGGTGCACAGGAACTATAAAGAGAGGTCAGGGACTCAGCGCCATCTTGGTTTGTACCATAGTCCCTGACCTGCCCTCCCCTAACAGATCTGCAGCTCTCCTCCTCCTCCCTGTGCAGAACGCCATCTTGCCGCGACGGTGTGCTCCCTGCTGTCCTCGGTGACGAGAGGGAGAGAAGAAACCACCGCAGACCCGGGAGAGGGGTCTCTGGGAGTGGGGAGTACTGCGACTCCACCGCAAGGACGCCGTGGTAGACAAATGCTGGCGATGTCACCAACCCAATGTTACCACAGCCCACATATGGAGGCAGTGCCCAGCAATCCAGGCATTATGGAACAGAGTAGTAGACATGATCAAAGTAGTGACAGGGGTAGGCCTACCGCACACACCCATGACATGGCTGTTCCTGGTCTGCCCTATCCTCCTGCCCAGACCCACCAGATTCTTAATCCTCCACCTACTAACAGCAGCGAATCTCTGATACCAGCTAAATGGAAAAACAACAACCCTTCCCTCCCCTAGGGAGTGGATCCAGAAAATAGAATCCATCAGACAGATGGAGGAGATCAATGCATCCCTATTTCATAAGTACGACCTCTACCTAACCACTTGGAGTCCTTGGGTGCGATTCATGAACGATACCTCTGGGGCCCCTTAGGGGCAAATGCAGGGCTCAGCATTCACATACTCCAAAGCACTCTGGTTGCGCGTCTACTGATAGCCAGACATCTTGCTACCCAGCCTATCCCCACATTGACCCTCACGATGCCAATACATGACCGATAAACACACTTGGCGGGACAGGGAGGGAGAGAGATGCCCTCCTCAGAATAGACATGGTACCTCAATTGCACTGCTTTGATGGGTATCATTCTACTGTTGGTACATATTGGTCACTCCTTATAAGAGTTTATAACTACCCACGGGATGCTACTGTTAGTCCAAGAATGTTTCTCCCCCCCCAGTGGGGCATTGTTTACACCTGAAAAGTATGATTCTGCCAAAAAGTCTAGTCAACAATTATTTGTTAATTTTTGTTACCTTTTGATACGAAAGTATTACCAAGAGACTATATAGCCAATTGTATGTTTGATACCGATTTCACAAACCTTGTCAGTAAGAACATTGTTATTTATCCATGTATGTACAATGCAAATGGCCATTGTTCTGATGTACATTTTACTATGCATACTTGAAAATGAATAAAAACAAAATAAATAAAAAAAAACTTGCAGATAACTTGTGATTGGATGACTCGAGACAAGGTACTGCAGCAGTTAAAGAAAATTAAGCTCCGGGGTCTGATGGCATTCACCCATGAGTAAAATAAGTGAGGAAATAAGTGAACCTCTGTATTTAGTCTTTCAAGATTTTTTTGTTTCAGGTATTGTACTGGAGGATTAGAGGAAGGCAGATGTTGTTCCTATTTTAAAAAGGGTTCAAAATCCTTGCCTGGAAATCATAGACCTTAACTTATGTGACTGGAAAAATATTTGAAGAGCTATTAGTGCTGGTGAGGTAACTCAGTTGGTAAATTCCCTGACTACAAAACCTATTCAAAAATGCAAGGTTACAGGTTCAAATCCCATCGGGGTCAACTCACCCCATCATCCTTCTGAGGTTGATAAAATGGGCATCAATTGGGTAATGATAGCATCTATTATTATTCAACTGCCAATTTGGTAATTCTGAAAAAGCACTTTGTTATTATTATATTAAGGGATAATATTCAGGAATTCATTGGAAAGAACTTTGTTATTAGCAATAAACAGCATGGTTTTATGAAACATAGGTCATGTCAAATGAACCTAATTGAATTATATTGAGTGTGCACTTCCTTTTAGTCTGGCCGGGTACAGGAAACTAAAGCTCCCTGTACCCGCGGACCATACAGAGCTCGGCCACGCTACAACAGAGGTAGGGGAGGGGGGAGAAATAAATTGACAGGGGGAAAGAAATTGATGGGGAGGGGAGAAATTGACAGGGAAAGAAATTGACAGGAAAGAAATTGGCGGAAAAAATTGACAGGAGGGAAAGGAAGAAATTGACAGGGAGAGTGGCGGGGAGAGAAATAAATTGACAGGGGTGAGAAGTGACAGGGAAGGGCGGGGAATGAAATTAGGGAGAGGAGAGTAAGAAATTATGAGAAGAGAGGGGAGAAAGTGACAGGGGAAAAGTGACAAGGAAAGAGAGGAAATAAATTGATGGGGAAAGAAAAAGAAATTGACAGGGAAAAGAAATTGACAGGGAGAAAAGAAATTGACAGTGGGAGATAGAAATTGACAGGAGGAAAAAGAAATTTACACAAAGAGAGGGAAAATAAATTGACAGAAGGAGGTAGGAGAAAAAGAAATTGACAGGGAGGGAGGAAGAAAAAGAAATTGACAGGGAGGGGAAGAGAAAAAGAATTGACAGGGAGGGGGAGAGAAAAGAAATTGACAGGGAGGGGGGGAGAAAAAGAAATTGACAGGGGGGTGAGAGTGACAGGGGAGGGGGAGGGGGAGGGGGAGGGGAGAGGAGAGTGACAAGGGGGAGAAGAGAGTGACAAGGGAGGGGGGGAGAAGAGAGGGACAAGGGAGGGGGGAGAGATTGACATCCATCACACACAATCACACAATCACACACAATGCACCCCTTACACACAAAGACAATGCACCCCTTGCACACAGAAAAACACACAATGCACTACACACACGATGCATTACACACACAGACACTTTGTTATTATTATAAAAAAAGCACTTTGTTATTATTATATTAAGGGATAATATTCAGGAATTCATTGGAAAGAACTTTGTTATTAGCAATAAACAGCATGGTTTTATGAAACATAGGTCATGTCAAATGAACCTAATTGCATTATATTGAGTGTGCACTTACTTTTAGTCTGGCCGGGTACAGGAAACTAAAGCTCCCTGTACCCGCGGACCATACAGAGCTCGGCCACGCTACAACAGAGGTAGGGGAGGGGGGAGAAATAAATTGACAG